CTTTGTGCATGTGGACATGAGCGGAGCCCCTCCTGATGCCTCCAACAGCTCAGGGCAGACGGGAAAGGAGGGAGGAGATGCGGGGAAACAGCAGAATGGTGGCTGCAAGCCACAGAGTAGCATGGAAAGTGTGCCTGAGGATGTGCCTGCCTTTGAGAAGTTAAGCCCATACCCTACTCCCTCACCTCCTCATCCTATGTACCCAGGGCGCAAAGTGATTGAGTTCTCTGAGGACAAGGTAAGGATCCCAAAGAACAGTCCTCTGCCCAACTGCACGTATGCTACGCGCCAGGCCATCTCCCTCAGCCTGGTACAGAGTGAAGATGAGAGCTGTGACAGGCACCGGACACTCCCCAGCAGCCCTGCTTCAGAGGGGCACCGTTCAGCCTCCAGCTGTTCCTGTCAGCAGTCCCCTAAAGCAGCCAGAGCTCACGGATCTTCCCAGAGCAGCCCATTCAGCAGCCCTCCCCAAATCCCGAGCGCCTTTGCCAGCTCTGCCAGCTCTGAGGAGGACCTGCTGGCCAACTGGCAGCGTATGTTTGTGGACAAGGCACCCCCCACCTCAGAGCGAGTGCTGATGAACCGCACTGCTTTCAGCCGTGACACAGCCCCTGAGCTCCAGAAAAGGTTCAGCCGCTCCATGCAGGAGCTGGGTAGGGCAGCCTCGGCTTACTCAGATGGTGAGGAGTCCGCGCAGAGCTGCAGCTGGACCGTGAGCCGGGACTCGAGTGTGGACACAGACAGCACTGAGTCCAGAGCCCGCAGGAGCCATTTCTCCTCAGACTATGGTACAGATTTCTCCCAGGATGAAGCCCAGAAGCTGTTGCATGAAAGCGGTGGAGGCAGTGCTGAGCCTGAAAGCCCCTCACCAGAGAAGCACAAGGACTATGTGGACCTTGGCTTGCCTGAGAGCCCAGCTGAGGAAAGAGAAATACTGCTCCAGGGAAACAAGGAGAGCAACCAAAGAGGTGCCCAAGAGGAAAGTGGAGAAGGCAGGGTCAAGCCTCCCTTCAGCCGGATGCACCGCAGCCCCAAGAGGATGGGGGTCCACCACTTACATCGCAAGGACAGTCTGACGCAGGCCCAGGAGCAGGGCAACCTTCTCAGCTGAGGCAGAGCAAGAAGCAGCCACACGCTGCAGAGCTGTGGGATGCCTCCATCAGTCCACCTGAGGGAGAAAGCTCCCTTAGTACCCTCCTCCCAGAGGGAGTCTGCTCTGAAATTTTATATTTATTCTCTTCCTTTTGCTACCTGGAAGAGCTGAGGTTCCCCTTCCCTGGCACCTCAGACCCACAGTACTAGCACATGCAGTGTGCAAAAGCACACCCACTGCCCCGACATGCTCACAGCTCTCTCCACAGCCTCACACTGGTGCCTGTACCAGAGCTAGTTCTTGGTACCCCTCCTCCTGGTGCCTGTGCCTCTTTACACCCTCATCCTCCTTCCCACTCAGGTACCTGAGGCCCTGGGTGCTCTTGCGCTGGTTGCCCACAGCTGCTCTGCTCTCTTTTTTCTTGTGCCAACAGGGCAGACTGCCTGTGTGGTGGCGTCTGATTCCTCGGGAGCCCCAGGAGCCATGAGTGGGGCACAAGGACTCTCCCAGCGGATGGCTGTGTGCCATGGGGATGTGCTGGGATTGCTGGTATCTCATTTTTCTGTTGGGTTTTCTTTTTCCCCAGCTGCCCGTGGGGTTGTTCTCCAGAATCTGCCTCTGCGGATTTCCAGCATTGGGCTCAGCACCTGGTCCCCACAGAGGCAACACATGGGTGCTGCCTGCTGAGGTGGTTCAGGGAGGCATTGCCTGCTGGGCCCTGGGGTTTGTGTTTGTGTGTCTCCTCCCTCACACCTCTTCCCCTGCTCTCTGTGCTGTTGTTTTGTTTGAACGGTGCTGATGCTTTGCTCTTGGGTGGGCTTCTTTCTTCTTTCCAAGCCTTTGGTTTTGGAGTGTATTGTTTTTTTGTTCTCCCCACCCCGCATAAACAGACACAGCCGTTGGCAGCCGGTCTGATGCCTGCGTTGAGGGTGTGTTGAGGAGGCTCAGCTATCAGAGCTGCGCTTCCCTCTGATCCTGGCCTCCAGCCTGTAGAAACCCCTCCAGACTCAACAACAAGGTCTTGCCCCAGGCAAGCAAGGCGTGAAGGATGGTACCGGCTTTTCTGGGCAGGGCTTGGTGCAGGGCCAGCAGGGATGCGAGGGCAGCATGCTGAGGAGCTGCTCCCTGTAGATGCACTACCTCATGGCTCGGCAGTAGCCCTCTGCCAGGGTCTCCTTGCATGCCCCCTTCTCTGGGGGGCTCCAGGCTGGCTCTGGTGCCTCTCTGGAGCCTTCCCTTCTGGGTGGGGCTCTCTGTGTGTTTTTCCTAGCGTAGTGTGATATTGTGTGACTTTTCTTCTCAGTCTTGTGTGCTCAGTGTCTGCTTGGGGGGGAGGGAAGGGGAGAGGTCTGTAGATGTAGGTATTTTTTTGAGGGCTTACAGAGCCCAGGCCTCCTGTTTTAATTTTGTCCTGTGCTCTTGTCTTTCTGGTGTTTCTTGGCTCCCCTGGGAGTGCGAGGCAGAGAACAGCCCAGTTCCCCTGCACCACACCCCCTTCAAACCCCACCGTCTGCCCTCAGTCTGCTATCTGGTTTTTGAGTTGGGTTGTTGTCCTCCCACCCTACACAATGAGGGCTCTTCACTGGGCTGGAGGAGAGCACCCCTGTCTCCATGAGGGAGCTTCTGTTCATATGCTTACATCAAGATGTACAGCCGAGAGCTGCCTGAGGGCCCTGCTCCTTTCCCCAAACCCTGTCTCTGCAAAGGGCTTGCAGCTTGCAGCTGGGGCCAGCCAGGGCTTCAGCTCGAGCCTGGAGGCTCCAGGGCCAGTGAAAGGGAGCTGCAGGCCTCTCTGGCAGTTATGTAGGTTGCTTTATGTACTCTGGCTAGAGCTGCTGCCTACACACTCACCTTGTTTCCTGCCACCCTCTGGTGGGGAGGTGGGACTCGGTATTTCACTGCAGTATTTTGCTTGGTCCCTGTGCAGACAGGCTGGTGCTGAGAGCAGGAGCCTCCTCTGAGCCTGCAGAGTGTTCATCTCCCCTGTCCCAGTCGTGGTGGCAGGATCCTTGTATTTGCTGTCATCAGCTGCTCCACTGCTGCATTTCTTCTGTTCTGCAGCATTGCTGAGAGTTTGCACCTGCAGCAGCTGCCAGATCCTGCCTCATGGATGTCACCTGGGGTTGGATGCTCTCTGAGCAAGCTGCTCTGGCTCTGAGGGTGCTGGTGGCCTGCAGTGGGGGAGGCATTGCCCCTCAGGGCTCAGCCCCATCTCCCCTGAATCCTGGCATGCTGGTCAGGGGACAAAAATCTCTCTTGCTGAGGCAGCTGGTGCTGATGGTGCTGGGCAGAGCCAGCCTCCCTCTGCTTTTGGTCAAGGTAGACTGAAAAGCAGAACAGTGGAGGGGTGGCAAACGAGTGCCCAGAGCCTCGCCAGACAGTTGTGCTTTGCAGCATTAGGCTGCTGGCAGAGGTTGAGAGGAAGCGGTGGCCTCAAGGAGCAGAGCCTTCTCCCCTTGGGCACGGTGCCCTCTGCATTCCTGCCCACCTCCAGCAGTATTGGCTCTGGGGCCTTGAGCTCATCCCACTTCCAGTGTCCCAACTCCAGACTGTTAATCTGTAACTAATGTGGTTTTTTCTGAGATTTTCAAACTGATGTATATTTTAAGACCAGAAATAAACTATTTTAAAAGTAGATGGCAATGGCTGTAGTGTTCTTGATGCTGCTTAAAACCTGGACTGAGCATGTGAAGGAGCAGAGCTGCTCAGGGTACAGTGTCCCAAGTTTGCTGAACTGTGTGTGCCACCTGTTAGCTCTGAGAGAGAGAGTGATCCTGTGACCTGTAAGCAGCCTCAGTGTTACTGGTAAGATTCTGCCTACCCCGTTTCAAGTATTTTGCTAACTGTCCTGGCTGTGTCTTGGCAGACTCTCCACCTGCTGATCTAGAGTAGGATGAGGTGTAGCTAATCCTTTTAATAGCTGTTGGTTTTCATAAAGTCCCAGCTCTTGGAATCAGCCGAGAGTATCAGTTCTCCACTTCAAGAAACTGAGTTATGTGGAACCATGCAACATACCACCTTGCTGGAGTTCCTAAGGGGGTTATAATTCTAGAGGCAGTATTTTGTATGGGGAGGATTGAGGTTGATTGGACATACCCCAGGCAGGAAGTTGTCCAAATATGAGACAGAATTCCTGCAGGATGCTGTTATGGACACTTGGAAGTGCTTCCTTTTTGTGTTGAATGGTGCTGCAGAGGTCAGAGGCTCTGATGAATTTTCTTCCATCTCCAGTGTTATGCTGTGCCTTTCTGACCTACATCTATGCAAAGCGTAACACAGGAAGAGTTTCTTGTTTCTTTGTTCCCATAATTAATGATATTATTCCTTGTTCCCTTGAGTAGCAGCTGCGGCCACAATTTGATCTTCTAACCTAATCTGAGCCTTGAAACACGATCTTCCTTGTCTGCTCCAGCAAGGGACGCTTGGCCGAGCAGAGCAAGCCGCAGTGCTGATGCGGGCTGAAGCCTTCACCAGAGGGTGCGCCGCTGGGGCCAAGCTCCCTGCAGAGCCAGACTAGCCCTGCCCGCTCCCTCCTGGGCCGGGGGAGGGCCCGGGGGACAGAAAGCTGGGCTGTCGCCGAGCTCTGCCCAGGGCCGGGCCTGTGGGGGAGCCTCGGCAGGGCGGAGCGCCGCGCGCAGCGCGGCGGGGTGAGGGGCTGCCGCCCCCTGCCGGCGCTCCGCTCTTGCAGCGCCTGCCTGCGCCGCTCCCCGCCCTGCCGTACCCTACCGGCTTCTGCCCGTACCTACCGGCTCCAATGCCGTCCCCGCCCGCACCTGCCGGTACCTACCGCTCCTACGCTCCTGCCGATACCCACCGGTTCCTGCCGCTCCCTGCCGGTAGCCTACCGCTCCTGCCGGCCCCCGCCTCCCCGGAGTCACACAGTGACGGAGACGGACGCTGCCACGAGTGGTGCCACCACGTCTGTGACCTTTATAAAACTCTCATCGCGACAGCAGTACAGGCGATAGAAAGGACATCTCTTATACACATCTGAATAAATACAGCCTGCGCCCTGCGGGCACAGCCGGGCGTGGGGGGGCGGCGTGAGCTACACATGCGGCGACGGGACAATCACAAGCGGCCGACTGGGCGTGTGACAACACAGAGACGTGTGTAGAGATTTGCTCGGACCAGGCTCCGGCGCTCAGAGAGCCGAGTGAGGCGCCAACAGGAGGTGAAATGTGTGAGAAGTGGGCTGGGGAGCCCAGCGGAGGCGGGGGTCCGGCAGGCACACGCTGCCTCCGCGGGCACGGTGCTCTTCTCGGCAGAAGCAGGCAGGGTAGCCCAGCTACATCTCTGTTTCTGCTAAGAGGCTGTCACCGAGACCTGACGTCATCAGGACCATCTGGGAGCTGGAATCTGTGTCGAGAGAGGGAGAAAAAGATGAGCCGTTTGGGCTGCCAGAGAGTAGAGGGCTGTACTCCAGATGCAGAGGTGAGGATGAGGAATTAGAGCACCGCAGGTGGGAGGAGAACTGCTGAGAGAAGTGTGAGATTAAGTAGTCTGGCCTTGCAGCAGAGTAGAATCGATGCTTGGAGAGGGGAAGAAAGCAGAGACAGCAGCAAGAGCCCAGAGGAACATCAGCTCTGAACCCTGCCCACATACAGGGGATGCTGCTTGTGCTGGCCCAGCCGTGCCCTTACCCAGCCCTGCACTCAGCGAGTGCTTTTTTGACTAGAGAGACAGTGTCCAAGTGGGATGGGCTATCAGGCTGCAAGCCAACCAAGCCCACATAAGGTGGTGGTACTACCTTCCCAAGAGCAGGGAATACAGCAGGCACTCAGCCATGTTACGGCAGCAGAGGCCTGGAAATACTGACTTTCTGCATGGCATGAATGGAGGGTTTGTGCAGCCCTTCCCCGCCTGCCTCGGGGAAGTGAAGGCAGCTTGCTGGCTCTGTGATGGCACAGAGCACCAGCCAGGAACACTATGACTCTCCCCACACTGAGTGAATCAGATGGAAGGAGGATGGGTATGCATAGCAAGTAAGAAACTCAGTAGGATACTAGTCTCCCAACCAGAAGCCTTTTTAAACAGAAAAAAAATCTGGTTTTTTCTGGATAGGAATGAGAAGATCTTTAGTGGCAGTCCTACACATTCAAAACTGCTGCATGGGAATCTCTGTTTTGGGGATCAATTTTTGGAAACTGGATGCAAAGCTTGGACAAAACTGTCACTAAATTATTTTTATGGCTTTAACAAATGAGGATCCAGATGTTTTCAGGCTGATGGAGTGGTTGTGCTTGTTTCCTGCTAGTCTAATATGAGAATTGTGAGGGGGGAAGGACAACTGAAGGTAAAAAACAACCCCCCCTCAAAACAGCTGGATCACAAGGTAGGAATGTCAATATACAATATATACAAACTATACCAAACAGGCTACTGCTATCTCCATAATATACCTTTTTTCCATTACAAGGAAAAGACAGGCTGTGGCACCTGGCTAACCCTTCACATGTATGGGACACAGAGATTGGAATAGCTAATGCTGTGCGGATTGCAGGGAGGTTCTGGAAGCAGTGAGGAATGACACAAGTTTTGGCTAGGCTATCTGGCAAAGGCCCCTGAGATCTTTAATGCTCCTGCCCTTGAGTTTTAAGACTTTGCATAAAGATTTCGTTCCTGCAGCATCAGGAAAAATGCCTCAGAGGTACTGTTTCCACTCTTTCAGCAGCCGCATTGTCCTTGGAGGCTGCCTTTCCACAAGAGGCTCAGCCCAACGCTGTTTAACATGAAGATCACGCCTGGAGGTTGTATGTATTCCAGTTCACGGGGGGAAAGGACAGATCCCATTCACCAACCTCACCACAAGAAACCAGTGGCACTGGAAACACCCCAGACACTCCAACTCCTGCCTGTCAGCTCCTGCCCACAGCCCAGCTCCCAGAGCTCTTACTGTTTTGGCAGATCCAGGGGTTCTTCTCCCTGGCTGTGACTTCGTGAGCCTCTGTCTCCTCCTCTTCCTCACCCTCTGAGAGAAGGTCAGAGATCTGCTGCTGCAGCTCGGGACTAATGTTGTTCTCTGCCAGGATGAGTGTCCGTAGGGCTGTGGGATAGTTCTCTACCATGTCCAGCAAGGTCTGGGCGGAGAGTGAAATAAAGAGGCTGAAGCAGCACAAACAGCAGCCAGGCTGAGCAGAAAAAGCATCAATGCTTTGTCTCCCTGCAAACTCCAGCTCTCCTCTTCTTACCTCCACCTTCCCTTGGCCTTGACCTTCCTTCATGAGGCTTTATGAGAGACTGAGGACTTCCCATCTTTCTGTGGGAAAAGCTGAGCTTGGATTTCCTGGCTCTGTCTAAAGAAGGGACTGCTCTACACCCTGTTGCTACCAAATATCCAGGCTCATTCCCTCTTACCACTGGGAGCTGGGGCTCTGAGGGGAGAGCCTGTGCTACCGAGCCTTGGCCCCTATATGTCCACAGAGCTTTAGCTCTGATCCTCAGTCAAAAATCCAATCCCTTACTTCTTCCAAGAAAACAGCCAGAGGAAAGTAAGAACACCCCTGGGTGCAGGGAGGGAAGGGGGCGCATGTGGACTCATGGGGGAGTGGAGGCAGCTGTAGATCCTAAGGCCTCTACAGACATCCCTGTCCTGTGCCACTGAGATGTCAGTGATGCTGTAGAGAAACTGTGGGCTCTCATACCTGGGCTGACTGATTGGTAAGTCCTGTTCCCTCCAAGTCCAGAACTTCGAGGGTTCGACTGGAGGCCACAGCGACAGCGAGCATCCCTGCCACCTGGTCACCTGTGGGAGAAGCAAACCAGGGCCATCAGCAGTGCCTGCCTTTCCTTATGTAATACCACATGCCCTCATGGAAACTTCCTCTGAGTACATCTGCCATCAGACAACCTCCAAACCTGTTCCTCAGGGAGAAAAAAGTTGTTAACTAAAAAAAGAGACAAGGAAAGGTGCACCATTTTGTGGTTATGGGAGCAGTCACTGATTGCCAGGGGGAACACGAAGGAACACAGTGAAACTGGTTTTGTTCCCAAAGGAATCATATCTTTCCAAATCTCCTTCCTACACAAGGATGCAAGGGCCTTTAACAGTCCCTGTAAGCCACAGAATAGGAGCTAAATACTTCAGTATAGGGTAGGGCTGGAGCCAGACAGAGGACTCTGCACCAGCTGAAGGACTGCCTCCCTGGGAAGGGGGTAAACTTTTGGACACAGCATTAAAGATTGATGGTAGTGAAGAGACAAGACTCCAGTGTGTTCTCCTGACATTCTCTGCTGAGTGCTAAGATGCCATACAACTGTGACACTTTTTGTTAGCGCAAAACCTAGAGTGCTGTCAGATAATACCCTGGAGCCTTTCCTACCCAAGAGGAGGTACCTGGTCAGACGTAGGGCCTGGAGGGAGGCTCTGTTTGCAGATAGGGTGAGGAGGGGAGTACCCTGCTGATGCTCAGGGAGGCATGGCCTGATCTCCTCCTCACCACCTTGCAGCAGAGCTGGAGAGAGTTTGTTTCTATGGCAACGAGTGCCAGGCTCTCCTCCTCCTCCTCCCTTCTCCTCCAGGAAGATGAAGGGGGGAGCGTGGGGACATACTGCATCTGCCAAGCCAGCTTCCGCACCCTGTTCTTCAGGAACAAGGGAGACATGGAGGGTCAAACATGACAACAAAGGCAATGGAGTAGGCAAGGCACAACCTCCTTTCTGCACCTCCCTGCAGGGTATGTGGCCACTTCATACAACCAGAGCAGTGAGGGTAGCTTTCCCTACAGGTGAAGGTGCCCGGCAGGGTGAACTTGCTGCTGGGGATCAGAAGGTGAGGAACTGCCCCATCCTACTGTTGATGCTCTACTGCATTTTTTTCTAGAGCTTGGTCCCCAGCCAACCACTGGTGCCAGTTGCACAAACACTGAGAGGCAGGAGTGCAGCATCCCCTGCTCCTCCTCCATGGCCCCCAGCTTACCTAGAGGGTTGTAGTCCAGGTTCAGCACGCGGAGCTGTGAGCTGTGAGCCACTGCAATGGCCAGGCGTCCCCAGCCTTTGCTTGTGATGCCTGGGTTGGCGCTCAGTGTTAGCTCTTTGAGGCCTGGAGAAGAGAGAGAAGCCAAACCAGAGCCTTAGGGTCACCAAAGCAGTCTCAGGAGAACTATTTCAGCTCATCAGAACAGCTCTGAGTTTGGGGATCTAAGAGTTTTGTTTGCTCTGACAACTGTCATCACATATTTCAGAGATCAGTGAAATATTTCACTACCTTCAGCAGTAGCCCTTCATTTATCCATGCTGTGAATGCCCCACTTATCTGCACTCCCATCCTGTGTCCTGCTTACCCTAAGTAGGTAAGGAAACAGGTAAGGGGTGTGTGAGACGACTGACTGGGTGAAGAAGGTGACATGAGGTGACAGGTTGGAGAGAGGATAACAAGGACAGTAGGCTCTGAAGCCTGCACCTGGGAGGAGTGGCCAGCAGAGATAACAGCATCAGTGGCATTGTGAGCACAGAGAGAAGGAGGTACTGGGAAGAGGTGGAAAGCACTTAGAGAGTCAGGAGAAAGGAGTGGCATTACCTCCTCTGCAAATGCCAGCTCTCAGCTTATCTGGCTCACTGGCCTCACACCACCAAAGATTATTCCCTGCAAAGACCCAAGACTTGGCACTAGGGCTATGACCATGCAACTACACACTCACACAGTGCACCTGCAAGCAGGGACAATTCCCAGGCACTGACAATAAAGCCAAGTGCTGAGGTGGGGGCACACGATATATTTATCTATGGTCATTATCAACACTCAAATGCGAAATAAATTCAAAATCCAAGCTGTCCCCTCCTCCAGTTTCAAATGCTCCTGACATGAACCAGAAACAACCTGTTGGTCTCTGAGCTCCAATCTGCCAGCAGGAAAGATCAATTACAGAAAGCCCATGCCTGCTCAAGGGAACCACTTCTTTATTGCCTGGCTTTTCTGCTTTACTTAAGTTGGGGGGAAGAAATTCTTCATCCTAGGCAAACTATAGAGCCTGCCTCCTCCGGGGCTGAGGATTTACTGCTGCATGCATCTGCTCTGTGTGAAAGCTCCACTGATCATTGTGCAGCCCACAGCCCCTGGTGCTTACCGGACTTGGCCCCATCAGGCGGCAGGAGCCCACAGATAAGGTTGATGCCTTCATCACCCAGCATGCAGTCTCCTAGATCCAGAGCCACCAGCGAAGGGTGGATGGAAAGAGCAGGATTGAGGAGGGCCAAGCCTGCATCTGTCAAGGGACTCCCATGGAGGCTGTGCAGGTAAAATGGAAAATTACTATGAAGCCTTCTTCCTGGGGGCTAACTAACCTGACAGGGAGGGAGAAGTAGACGAAATGAGCTGGATGACAAATACTAACCCTAACTGGGCAAAAAGTGCTGGGAAGCCTCTGCTGCGAGGATCAGCTGGCCGCTGCGGTGGCCCTCCTCCCCCGGCCGGGACGAGGGGGTGCAGGGGATGCCAGCGCGGCAGGGGCAGCCCCACCACCGGGGCAGCCAGGCTGGAGGGCCGGGACTGAAAGGCAGGGCCGTGCCCATCCGGAGGGGGGAAGAGGTGACTCCCTCCCAGCCAGGTGACGGGTAGGGGCTTATCCGCCACAGCGTCAAGGGCATTTTCCCTCCGACAAGACTCAAATTCA